GCCCCGGGGCCCCGCCGGTTCCCCCCCCTCCCGCCAGCAGCAGCGCGCTGGGGTTCCCGCGGAGCCGAACGTAGAGCCTCCGCCGTAGGGCCGTAGGCAGCAAAGATGGTTTCTCCCCCAACCCGATACCTAGTGTTCTTTCAGTACTTTGGCACTAAATATAGGTAGGTGCCTCAGCTGCCTCGTCAGCCATGTGCGGTGGAAGGAAACCAGCGCCTGTTGGGGCCCTGGGGGGGCGAGGGGGGGTGAGCCATGGGTGGTGAAGGGAGAGCTGTGAGGAGGCGGCTGGGGAAAGGATGGGTGAATGCAGTGGGTTTGGTGAGGGGTAAATCCCTTGCTGAGGCGGTGAGAGCAGACTCTGCCTTCTGCTGTTGCACAGAAGTGTTAGGAAGGGGATGGTTTGGGCAGGAAATGTGTAAAATGGGCAAAGGGAAAATATCAAAGGACAGAGAAGGCGACAAACTTGTGATGTCAGGCTGGGCACATGGGGAGAGGGCGAGTTACTGTATTTGCTGCAGTGGTGGTGGTTTGTTGGGTGGCGTGGCCAGGTCTCAGCAGTTCACATACCCGCGCTGCTTGAGAGATGCGGTGAAGTGATCTGTGGGCTGCGAGTCCTGCGGGAGGATAGCTGAGGTTGGGTTTCCCCAGGCCTTAAACATCCCACGTGTGTAGCTGTGCTTGTTTACGTTAAAAAAAAAAAGTTGTGTGGGAGAACTTGTGCAGCTCCAACTCATGGAATTGTGCCTATCTTCCTGAGGGTTTTACAGAATAATACCATCATATGCCAAAACCCACAATTCCTTTGCAGTGCATGGTCTGTGTCAGTGTGGGTACTGACCTAAATTACTCCAAGTAGTTATGGGTAGGTTGGGTTTAGCCTCAGGACCTGTCTCTCTGCAGTTCAGCAGCTTTTGTGACTTCTGTAGTAGAGAAGGAAGCTCATCACAAACTGTCTTCACAGTCTTTTAGTCCCGTTATGACATCCACAGGGCCTGCAAGAAAGGGACCTGCAACTGGCAACCAACCCCTGGCCTGGAAATAGTTTTGTCTGCAAACTCTTTTCTAGTGTAATTTGTCTGCCTCATCTTCCTGTCAGCCTCCATCTGAAGGGCTAGTCCAGAGACTAATATTGGAAGGGTGATTTTTATTTCCAGCCTCCCTTCTTGCAAATAACCGCTGCATCTGTTTTCTTTCCATTCATCAAAGTGTTTGGTCCCTGCAAGTTCTGTAAAAAGATCCCAGTTGCTCAATAGCAGACAGTTTGATGACTGTCTCCCATTAACTTCTGGATGTGTTGGTGGACTCTGTGTCAAGTCCTTGGGTCTTGACACCTATCAGTAACGATTGTATTTGTTTTGCTCTGCAGTGGGGTTATGGAGACCTCGAATGATCAGTCAATGATTGGAGTCCAGAATTATTTGGAGGTAGGTCCTTGCTAATCATATTGTCATTAAAATGAAACTTCTACGGTCACATTGTTGAGCTACAGATACTAGATTTCTAGATTGACACTCAATAAAAGACACTTGCATAGTGCTAAACACTATAATATTAAAAACAAAGTGCTTTAGAAATGATGTCAGTATACAGGTGGGAGAAATAGGGCAGGGTGAAGTCAGAGACGATAAGATCCTGATCCTGAAAAAGGTGTGAACCCTTCAATAAGACTTGAAATTGAGGCATCAGAGTCCAGAGCTATGATTCTGAGAGCCCCAGCGCAGATGCTGGCCCACCTGAAGGTACTTAAGCATGTGAGCTTCATTAGCACTTGTGGTTTTGCCTCCACTCATTCTTAGAACTGTCTCAGTTCTGGGTAGGCTTAGCTGCTCTGCTTCTTGTTCATGTCTAAGTCCTGTATAGATTTAGAAATTAGATGCTGTGTCCTCCCAGGAGAGGATGTGTCTGATAGACATTTTCAGAACAAAGCACAGCAGGATATCCATTGTTCCAAAGAAAAAAAAATATGTTTGGTTTCCATTCTTCTGGAGTTCTTCTAATATGCTGGGGGAAAAAAGTTACGATCCTGTCATCGCTGTTGTTCTTGTGCTGCTCCCAGGGATTTCCCAGAATGTAAGAATGGCTTTCAGGACGCAAGTGCTGTTTGGGTTTGGAGTGAGTGTGCACCAGGAGTGCAGACGACCCGCTGTTACACCAGCGAGTAGAAAGTGGGTCACTTGCATCGGGTAAATGCTCAGCACACCTGGATATTTCTGCAGCCCAGTTGTAATTTAATTACAAGCTGCTGTTGAGCTGCATTTATTGGAGCAGTGCTGGTGAATCCCATGTTCCCGCGCAGGGCAGGAATCAAAAGGAAGCTGTGTTATTTTTCTCCCTTGTCTTAGAAGCATCATGTAGTTTGAAATGAAGCTGGTGCCCATTTAGAAGGTAAATGATGATCGTTGAAGAGGTTGAAACTGATTGCTTTAGGTCAGATCACGCCTATGTATTAACAGGCAACTTTTTTGTTACTTGGTTCTCATTTTTGGCCAGACTGTCTAACCTGAGATGACAAACTGTAGCAGTTTGAAGGTGCTGTGCCCACCATGCTTGTCTGTGAACGTCTGTTCTCTGCCTGCATTAGCTACAGTCCTGGTGGTGTGAAGGAACAGAGTTGTTGAAGAGCCGGGGCGGGAGCAGACTTGCTGTCCCACCCAGCCACTCTGTGACCCTGGCCAAGACGTTTCCACACTGTGCCTTTGTTTACTGAGTAAGGGTGATAGTTCTTGTATGCTCTTGCTAAGCAGTCTGCAGAAGGAAAGTGTGATGAATTATGGCTTGAATAAGAGTTCTCAGGGTGTATTTGGATGGCTTCTTGCCTGAGACTATTGTGGAGAAAGTGTATAAATATTGTGCGGATCTTGAAAGAAGAGCCCCAAAGGACTTTCTATCTCGTTCATCTAATCCTCTGAACCATCCAGTGTCTCAGCCCCAGGCGCCGGACTTTGGGTGAGCCCAGCAGTTGTTTTGCATTATCCAAGTAACTTTGTTTTAACAGGTGAATGGGTAGGATGGGTGATTAAAGGAGAAAAGAAGAAGAAAAAAAGAAAAAGATAAACTTATTTGGTGTTGTCTTTTCACAGTATCAGCACTTTGCAGGCCAGTTCTGGGATATGTGCCTTGCTTTCATGTGGTGGTATTGATGCTGGGCACTGCTGAGCAGGGCTGTGTCTATTAGAACCACATGGGAAGTCTTAAAGCAACTTTAATAGAAAACTTCTGGGGCCTGTAGGAATTTATCTTCCTTCCTCCATTTCTGTGTAGCCTTGAACTTCACAACTTTCCAAAGCCAGGAAGGCAACTGAAGGGAAGGGCAAAATTAAATCTGTAATGAGATCCTTATTGTATTCTAAATACATTCAGACATTTGTTTGGAGTTACAGGCAAGCAAATAACCTGTGAGGTGTAGACCTTGTATTTGAACAACTGTGTCATTAAAAGTGTAATGGACTGGTTTGTGAGTGTGTAATGCAGCACTCTGTGATGAGGTAAAATTGCTGGACTGGGGCTGAGCAGAAGGCTTGTCTGTAGCCCTTTGTCACTGTAAAGCACTGCATCGTACAGGACGCGGAAGCTTTTGTAGTCCTCAGTATTGCGATGGAACAGGGCCCTGAGACTGTCTGGATGAAATGGAGACTTGCTTTAGTTCAGGGACAGATGTAGATACCTGATGGAGTTTTTAATGTATCTTTGAGGAGGGTGAGCTTTGCAGGCAACACTTTCTTTCTTGGTGACAACATACTTGTCTTCAAGCACTTGGAAGCCCAGCTTGCTAATGATGGGTCCAAAATAAAATTCCAGACTGTTCTTCCCCATCTGGGGAAGTTTGAGTCCTATGACTTGGCTTCCTCCAGTTCCTTGTGGAAACTTAGAAGATACAGGACTTCATGCTCTGGTGTCAGTTCTTACAAATGTCCCTACTGTTAAAGAAGATCTCCTGTGTAGTACCTTTTGCTAAAGCGAGTAGCTGTTGCTTGTGCTAACAGGCACCACGTGCAAGGCCTCCTAGGATCTACAGAATTAAGTTCCCTTTCATGTTTGGTTTGACTCATCTCCTGAGCGTGCTTTTTCCCTTTATACTGGTGAATGCCGCCCAAAACAAATCTTCTGCACAGAGTGCTCTGTTTTGGCCGGCAGCCTTGTGCTAAGGCTAGATATTATTCCTCATGAAAGGAAAAGGGGGAGTAGGTGAGGAGAGAAAGAGGACATACACAAACTCCTTACTGTGTGAGGCAGCTTTGGTACAACCTCCTGCGCCCCCACTCCCAAAAGAAAAAAGAAAAGAAAAAAAAAAAAAGGAAGATACAAAGGAAAATAGACCAAGAGAACTATCATCTTCGAACTTTGTTTTGATAATGATTTCAATGGCATAGGAGATTGCTTTGGAAACCCTTTCTTGCAGCAGAAGCCACTTTCTCAGCTTTTTCTTCCTGGCTTCCGCTTCAACTTTTATCTATTCCACTAAAAATTAGTTAGATTTTTAAATAATTTCAGTTGACATGGCACCCATTGAGTCAGTGAGGCTGTGATGACTTGCAAGCAGAAGCTTGTGCAATATTATTTATTAGAACACAGCAACTTACAAATCATGCAGCATCCTTGGCAATGCAGTTCAATCCGTTATGTCTGTGCAACTAATGCCATTGTGTGTGATGAAACCAGTAAGCAATCCAGTTGCTGTGAAAGAGAAACAGACACTTATTTTTCCAAAACATTCCTAATGGCTGTAGAGGTAGATGGCTGAGTATCTTAGGATTTTTTTTTATTTAGACTTCAGGGAGAGAAGTGAATGAACTTTTGCTTCCACTCCATAGGTGGTATACATTAACGGGCCTGTTCTTCATCTTGGCTTTCCAGCATTTGTATAGAGTGAGAGGAGAACAGAGCTGTGAGTAATAATAGTAATCTGGAATGTGGATCCATATCGTTCTGGCACACAACAGTGGAAATTTTAGCATGATTCAAAATATGGAAGTGCTTAGCAAATGAAACCTGTTAGCAGAAACGACCTACTAAATGCAAGTAATGCTTTCCTCTGCATCACTGGTATGCAGGGTGTTAGAGATATAAACCGACACCCTGGGATGCTTGTTGCTGCTCCAGGAAGATGGTCATCTGGAAAGACTATGACTCAGGAAGTAAAGGCTAAATTAAAATGGGTGAGATCTGGCTCAGTGAAAGGCCTCCAGCAGGTGCCAAGCCAAGATTTCAGTGTTTGTAACACCTACTGAAGAGGATGTTTACATGCTCTGTGGCTTAAAGAAGGGAGCAGAGACCTGTGAACTCTGAGCACATAGGAGGACAACGTAGCTCCTTTATTCCTGTATCTTCTCTATTGCTTTTTAGCTGGGTGCCCATGGGTAAAGTGCTTAACTTCAGCCTCAGTTTCCCCCTTGGGAATCCATAGATGATACCTAACAGTATTAATAGCAGTAAAGCCTTTTGAGTTCCTGAGATGAAAGGCTAGCTTGTTTTAGGGGCTTGTTTTTTCTGAAAGGGCAGGAAAAACTGGTTGCTAGCCAAGCAATCGCTAAATGCAAATAATGTGTCTTTTTTGAAATTCAGTGTGGGTGATATTAACAGATTATACAGGAACCAAAGGAGGAAACCATCGGCTTGCCTGTAGGCTCAAAGGACATCTGGATGGTACAGATATGAGACGTTTGCATAGGTGAAGAGGTCAGTTCTGAAATGCCTGCAAAGAAGTTCAGCAGTTCAGAAATTCTGTCTTTAAGGAGATTCATTAGGATGGAATATAAAGGAAATATTAAAATTGAAACTAGAGGCAGCAGTTGATAGTACATTATCAGCTGCATGCCTGTTAGGCTGGAGGAAGAATCCACTAACAAAGCTTTCAGCTTTCACAAACAGATTTATTGTTGATGGTGATCACATTCCTCCTTGGATGCCCAGCACATACATCCTTCGGTCATCTCCGGAGAGGTGTACCTGGGAGAAAATTGTGCTGGAGAAGGGCAGCTGTGAAAATACCATTTGTTGAACCTGTGGTGCAGTCCTGCACTTTTGTGGATTCGTTGGCTGACCTGAGCGGAGGAAACAACCAGGTTTGCCTTGGAGTCTGCAATCCTCTGTTCCTCTCCGTTCCACTCTCTAATAGGGCTCAACTCCCGCTGGCAGAGAAGAGATCCAAACAGTGGTGTTCTTGTCCAGCTTTGTTCAGATGCAGTGATTGAAATGGGATGCAGTGTGGAGTCCAAAGGAGTGCTGTATCCAAACTTCTCCAAGCCCATAACAAGAAAGGAGGATGTTTTCCATGTTCTCTCCTGTTCTGTCTTTCCTTCTACCCCGACTCAGGCAGGCTCCAGCTCCTCCCTTCCTCCACCCTCTTCTCCCCCTTCTTTCTCATCAGGCAAAAACCAGCCAGTGGGAACATAGTTTGAGCCTGCAAAACCCAAACGTCTCTTTGCCTAAAATTGCACTTAAAATGCAGCTTCTGCTTTAAGACAAATGCTGAGGCACAAGCCAAGGTCTACTGCAGAAAACTATTTCATTTCTGTCTGCTTCTTTCTGCTTAAGGGTGATAAATAAAGATTTTCATTGTTAATTGTAACCACATGTGAACTCCAAATAGAAGGATTAGGAAGGGGAAAAGGCTAGGGTCATTTTTGTTCTGTTTCCCAGACCTTCCCCTGCAGCTCGGTTATATTTTTTCCTTGTCTCCCTGTGCATTTTAACGGTACGCTTCTGAGAGCTTAGAATCCTGTCTGCTCAACTGTAGTAGTCTGGAAGGTATTTATGAGTCAGCAGTTCAAACTTTATTGACTCTTGGTACCAAATTAAAATCTAATAAAGACCACTGCTGGGTTCATTACTCAGGAGTGGAGATGGGAAAGAGAAGGAAATTTCTAGTCATTCATGTGGTTTTCTGCTTTTTTATTGTTGTTTTTCGGTGTTTCAGATATAATTCACTCATTCCCTGTAACAAATTACATTGGATTTTCTGTCACTTACAAAGAAAAAAAGTTGTATTTTGCAGTGCTCCAGCAACCTACTTTAAATCCTTACTGTAGGTAACATGTACTATGGTTTTAACATTGCATTAGAAACCTTGATATTCTAATAACTTCCTGACTTACTAGTGTTTGTCCCTTACCAAAACCCACCCTCGCTTTGTTAAACTTAGGCCAGGCTAGGCAGACCCTTAAATATATGGCCTCTAATTAACCACGTTAGCATCTCTTTTGCTCACTCTCTCTTTTGCGTGTGCATCTTGATTAAAAGACACCATATTAATCACTCATTTAGCAGGGTTTTGCTTACTTTCCCAGCAAGAAGCTGCAGTAATTCATCCAGTTGTTTTTCCAGCCCTTTGTTAGTGGGCAGAAGGGAAAGGCAGAAACAGGGTGGGGATAAAAGCCAGCTGTGTAGAGAGGAACAGTTGGGAAAGAGAAACCACCATCCTACCCACAGGTGCATTCTCCAGCAGATCTGCACCAAAATCTGTGTGCAGAACCTAGAGGATCTCAATCGCTGTCCTTCCCCTTGTGTTAAGAACAGTAAGTTTCAGCTTGTTGCAATACGGTTTGCTAACTAATTTTTTAAAGTACATCTCAGCTGCAGTGTAATTTTAGGGCCTTTTGGCTTCAATAAGCTTGAATTCTGTGACTGTAAAACTTGAACTCTATGATGGTGTAAATAATCTTTGTCATTTTCTGTTGTAGTCTTGCTAAGGCAGAGGTCTAAGCGTGAGTGAGACATTGCCTGAATATTAAGGCAACTCTAGCTCATGAAGAAAATAGTATTCTTGAGGATTAGCCAAGTCCTGCATTAATGCAACTGTGGAAGCAGCAAATAAAAGGAAATTCCGTCTTGTGACTGCCGGTGGCATGTGTTTGGCCTGTGATTATTTGTACCTGCTGGGATAGCTCAGTGTCAGCTCCTCAACTACTGGTGTGTTTTATGAGAGCTGTGTCTTGATTCTTAGATCTGTTTATATTTCTCAGTGGGACTAATAAATGCATTACATCAGTGCTATGCTACTACTCATCTGGTCCCCTGGTTCCTCCTCTGCTCTCAACAGTTAATGGAAGCATGTTGCTCTCTGTAGCTCTCCTCCTGTTGTGGATGGAAAAGAACTTCTGCTTGCAGCAGTAAGCCACAGTATTTTACGCTGTTCTGACCTGCACTAGAAGGAAAGGGTGCAGCCTGAGCTTCTTCAGGCGTCTTGACTGATGGCATTCAGACATCCCTGCGTCCTGTTTCCATCCCTTTAAGGCTTGGGTTCTGCAGCCCTTTAAGAGATGTTGAAGCAATCTGAGTCCAGTTCTTAGCAGTAAATGCAGGGCTGGTGTCTGGGTTTAAATGGGTAATTCTCTGCCCTCTTTCCCACTCACCCAATGATATAAATTAAAGCCTAGGGAGATGAATATTTTTTACTGTAGTTTGTACATGTAAGGAAGCTGACATGGCATTTTGGATGTTCTGTTTGAGGTGATTTCAGAACAAAAGATGAGAAGCCACTGGTGCTAGAAGTCCCCCAAACAGGCTCCTCTCCATCCCTTTCTTTGCAGCCCATGGTAAAACTCCCAATTACTTCTCTGTGCAAGCAATAACGAGATGTGTGGTTCGCAAGGAGGAGGATGTTTTTTCCTAGCTAGCTTGAAGCAAGTCTGCTATTTATGAATCCTTCTCGTATTGGCTTTCAGAAGGCAGTGCAGAACCTAAAGCCTGTTGTTCCTGTCAAGTTCCACATCTCCAGCCGAACAGATGCTGGTGTCCATGCACTGTGCAACTCTGCTCACCTTGACATCCAGAGGGCACCGGGGAAGCCGCCTTTTAATGAGAAACAGCTCGTCTATGGTCTTAATTACAACCTAAAGCCTGAACCGATCCGGTGAGTTGGTGGCAAGTCCAAACCTTTTATTTTGCCCTTGTTGGAGAAAGGAGGAAATGTGGCCACGATCTCAACTCGGTCAGTGACTGGAGCAGAAGCTGCAGCAGTGGTCTCAGAGCCAGCTGCATTCTTTCACCTCCGAACAAGCACCAGGGGAGCCATCAGAGGGTGAGGGGGAAGAGGAAGTAAAATCCTTGGAATCTGAGCTCAGGAAAGAGGGCAGGAAGGCACTGTGAGAGCCTTATTACTAGAGGCACGTAGTTCCTCTTAGTGGCTCTTATTATGTTGTTTTAAATGATCTTTTTCCCTGAATGTTCACAGTTCCTTTGACAGCCCTCAGACAGTGTTGGGAACAGCATAGGGCCACACCACTTTTCCCCTTTGATCCTAACAGTCTCCTGACTGTCCGTGTTGCTGTCCCTCTATGAGACCCTCTTGCGATGTCTTGGAGTAGGTGAGCTCAGCCTAAGGGCAGTGTGAGATGGCTCTTATGCCGCTTGGGCTTGATACAGAGTGTGGCTGCCATTAGAAATGCATGACTGTCAGTCCCCAGAAATCCATAAGGGAAATTTCTCCCTCCCCCCCACCTTATTTGCAAAAATGTGTTTTAGCAGTTTGCAGAGTTCGTTGAGTCTTCCTCTGAAAGCAGAGGTTTCACGGTGGGTACTTGCCAGAAAAGCAAGTACTGATTTCACTGCTTTTACTACACAGCCCACGGACAGCCATCCGGTAACAAGTCAGATTATGCATCCCAAACTTGAGATTGAATATTAGCATGATAATATAGGATTGACAGTTTTGCACTTACAAATCCAGTTTCTCCATTGGCCTCTTAAAGTAGCAGCTAGATTCCTCTGCAGTGAGAGGCCAGAACACAAAGCAAATCTCTCTGTCAAGCTAGCTAAGTTGCATGCTTAGTATCTGAGAGTTACTGTCCCTTGACAGCTTTCACCTTCTTTGACATATGTGTAAAGAGTCTAATGCAGCTGCTGTGGGGCAGGGCTGGAGATGATTTCTTTTCAGACGGCTGTCTCAATGAAAAAAAAAAAGAATTCTGAAATAGAATTTGACTTATGCAGGTTTTTGGTTGTTATTTTTGCTCAGACTGAAAACTAGGTCAGAATCTACACGCCCTGGAAGTCAAACCCTTTCTGGATGTTCTAGCAGTAACAGGGAACATGAAGTAGGTCATAGTTTTAATTTCCTTCCTTAAAAGACTAAAGCAGTTGTTCGGGAGTCAAAACTAGCTGATTTTAACAGCCAGAGGGTAGCACTGCAATAATCAGTCTGTTCTATGCGTCACCACCCACTGAATCTCAGTCTCTCTCCCCTGAGTTTAGGCTTGGAACTTGGGAGTTGTGTTGCCTAGCTTTAATGGAGCAAGTTGTCCTAGAGAGCTAAAACTGCTGTTGTGACTGTGCCAGTTTCAATACTAGTAGTCATACAGACACATAGTTACAGCTAGCTTTGTGATACCTTGACTGATTTGTCCAAGAGCGAATAAGATCGCTGCTGAAGAAAGTTTTACGTTAGAGAGCATCTCCAAAAGGAGGCAGCAGTGGGATCTTACGGATGGGAAAAGTTTTTTGTCTCGTGCTAAGATCTGACAGGTACATATCAGGAGGTGGTATCTTCCGATAGAATCCAATACCATCCTGATCAGTTAAAGAATTTATCAGGATGCAGTCAGCTCTACTTCTTCCTCTCTTGGGCTGAACCTTTTAAAAATGGTTCAGCTGCTTTCCATTAAGGAGCTTGGTGATGTGCATGAGTCTAAGTGTATTTAGCAACCATCCCCTCCCTCTGTAAATATTGCTTTGCCAAGAAGAATTCTCTCCTAATGCCGAAGAGGAAACTCAGCACTTTCGTGTGGCTGGAAGCAGGGGGTGACGGAGAGAGGGATCTTTTTGAGAACACATTATTGTTGATAGAACTTGGAAGGGAAACAAGATTCCAGGCTGGCTGACTGTATCATCAGCAATAATAACCTTTGCAGCATGATGGATCTCTTCTATCAGCTGACCTGTCTTCTAGATTCAAAACAATTCAAAACAAAGATCAGAGTGTATTTCATAGATGGGGTAACTTTAGGAGGACTTTGCTGTCCCTTAAGTAGGGATGGTAATACTGTAGACTCACACCTTCTATTTCTAGTTTCAGTTTTGTAAGCACACAATAAAAGCTTAGTGACAACAAGACAGAGCAGGATTCTTCCCACCTCCTGTAAATTGGCATTTCGTTTCTGTTGACAGTGGAAGGAGAAGGATGTACTTCTGGAGGACATCTTTGTATCTAATACATTGCCGTTTCTAGTTAGATGTCTTCGGGCTTTTTTTCCTTCAGCCTTCTCTGAAACTCAGGCTCTGTTGAAAAGGTAAATAATGCCATGAGTCTTTATTTACCAGCACTCTTTCAAAAAGTGGGATCTTAATGAGGCCTGAAATGTAGCTGCTGGAATAAAAGCTGGAAAGACGTTCCTAGCTGGAAAGAGCCTACGGTAGCAATTGCATCTGCTAAGAGAGGCATGAAGGGATGCCTGCATTGAAGAATCATGTGAGCATAAATAGGCTTTTCTGAAAGAATCACTCTATCAGAAGGAGTAGAACGATGGTTATTTAATAAAAATCACATGAGCATTAACAGGAGAAGCTCAAGATAGATGAAATGCTTGTGGAGGCATGTAGACAGAGGAAATTAAATGTAATAATTACATTATTTTGTTTAGAAGAGGCTGGAGATCCTAGTTGCAAACTCCATTGCAGGCCTGGAGGATGTAGTTTGCATTTCTACTGAGAGCTGATAGCAGTGGAGCAATCTCCTGGGCTTGTTATTGCAAATCTTTGTGGAGGCCTGTGGCTCAGCTTTAATTTCTTCTTCTGTGGTCTGAGCCTGTGCAGTCAAGGGATGTGAGCCAGAGGCACTTGAGCTGGTAAAAATCCCTGAAGCACCAACCTTTTTAAAGTAAATAAATAGGTTTGTCTATTACTTGGTCCCAAATGGTGTCGTATTTTTTAGCTGCCCCAAGTCCCTTCTCCTTGCTATGCCAAACTCCAAAGACAGAAAGACACACAGCAGGAGAAAAACTGCCTTCTAAGGAGAGATCTCTCTAGAGTAACACCTGCAGAGAGATTATGCCTGTGTGATAGTGACTCCTTGCTGTATGCTGCCATCAGTATGGTGAATAGCCAGTACTCTGGGATAAAGGAAAATCACATCCAGTAAAAACTGCTGCTGACATGTTCAAATTAATGATAACACTTTGGGAGAGGTGCAGAAACACGAGGAAGCTCTGTTTTCTTCTTTGCCAGAGACAAGGGTGTTTTCCTCTCTGACAGCCTTCGTACCCACCCTGCTGGCTACCGAGCTGTCTGTATTTGATGGTAATGGTGGCATTGGCTTAGAGAAACAAGGCAATTTCTCCCTGTTGCTTGTAGAGAAAACCAGGGGAATTCAGCTGCCTAGAAAACTGCTGCTTGAGTTAACGGCCTAGAGTCAGTGGAAGATGAGTAGACGTGAACATTCCCAAAAGCCATTTTCTGCCCACATAAAATATGAGGGTTCCCAGGAGGTCTCCTGCATGCAGCATTCTGCTCTTTGATTATAGACTCAATCTAGGCGATGGTGGGATGCACCTTTATTTCCATTCCTGCAGCAAAGTCCTATTTGTCTTGGAGGTTGTAGGGAGAGGTGGGAGGGAAGCGACCTAGTTTCAGCTATCTCCATCTGCTACAATGACCTGCATAGGCACCTTTGAGAGTGAGCACAGAGGTATCTGGGGTTGGGGAAGTCCTTCCCACTCATGTTGGGACTGGGGTTCTGCAAAAGCAGAAGGGCACAGTGTTCATAAGGTGTGCTCCTCAACTGGAGATGGAGGGTGTCAGCTTGCTTTGGGAAGCTGCTGCCGCTTACCTTAAGTGTGGCTAGGAACACATGTGCCTTCAGCCACATGCGCAATACGAAGTGGTGGGCTGGGTGGGGGGTTTGGTTTCACTACGCAACAAAGAACACATACCATCAGTTGCTATTTCTCAGCTGAAGGACTGACCGGCCTTAGCCTCTTGTGATGGTGTGAATGTCCCCAAAATATGTTGATAGGTGACCCAAAGTCAGTTTCCCTGTGTATTTGATAATGGGGGTGATGCTAATGCTCTTCTGCCTTCTTCTAGTTGACAGATGCCTGTGACAGCCTACAGGTATATGTTGATAGGTGACCCAAAGTCAGTTTCCCTGTGTATTTGATAATGGGGGTGATGCTAATGCTCTCTGCCTACTTCTAGTTGACAGATGCCTGTGACAACCTACAGGTGCAAATCCTTGGTCACTGGTTAATCACTGGCTGTCAGGAGAGAATGATATTTAATTACTAGTAAGCGCAGTTTCTCAGAGAATCCATTGCATGTTTCAGTTCCCATCTATGTGGTGACCAGGCAAAAGCTTTTGAATTAGTGCATGACATTTCTCTCCATCTCACTCATTCTATTCTGGCCTAACAGCATTTTGAATGCCTATCGAGTGACCGATAGCTTCCACGCACGCTTTTCTGCACTGTCAAGAACCTACGTTTATCGGCTGTTGATGGGCTGCACTCATTATTCTGAAATACCGGTGTTCGAAAGGGATCTCTGCTGGGCTCCTGCGGGAGGGTAAGTGTGTTCCATTAAACCTCCGTGGGGAGCCTCCTCATCAACACTCTGGAAAGGCTTGGCTTTTGGGGGAAGCAGGGAGGGGGTAATTTCCACATGTGAGGCCATATTCCCGGTTCGTATTGACAAGATTTCCCTTTTGAAAGCAGTGCAACTGCACTGAGTTATGTTCACTGAGACCTGAGACTTACAGTCCTTTTTAATTGTACTGTCAGTTGTACTTGTGATAAAGATGATTAGCGCTGCTGAAATACTCAATGACTCCGGGTAGAGTCCGTCAACAACTTCGTGTGTCCCTCCCCATGGAAGTGATGAACATTTCCTCAGATGACCTTGCCAGTTCATACAGCAAACCCATTCGGACAGCTGGCTGAAGGAACAGTGCTCTGATACGATGCAGATGGGCAGAAATGCACTGCATGGCAGATCTCAAGAGTTTTAGGTGTGACCTTACAGTCAGGCGAGAATGAAGGCTGAGAAATTTTTATTTTTTTTTTTTTGCCCCCCTCTAGTCCTGTTTCTGGTAGTGCCTGCATGTAAATCTGCTCTCTCATTCCCTGAGTACTTGTATGTTTGAATAGTGAGAGCCAATGACTCTGAGCAACCCTACAATAACAAACCAGTGTATCCAGCTCAGTATTCACTTGTGTTCTTGGAGTAGCCACTGAGTCATAACAAATCAGTGCTTGTATATGCAAGGGAAGAAAAACACATTCAGTGCCATTTTAAAAAAAATACTTAGGAGATGATAAACAGTGGGTGAGGAAAAAACCAAACAAAACCGAGAAGATAATTATTTGTTGTCCTTTTAGTTTATGTTGTACTGAGGTAAACATACATTCAAGAAAACAGACATTTTCCACAAAATTATAGAAAAACAGGTTTGTAGCCAGTTGTGGTAATTTCATCACCGCTATTGGAATAACAATTGTGGGTAATGGAAAAAATGTAATCTCAACTGTCCTAGCAGGGGAATGAAGATGACGTTGTCCTAACATTAAATTGCTGACTTTGTTTTCTGTGGGCTGTGGAAGGGAAAAATAAATATGAAATTGCAATATTAGATATTATGTGTACAATGTACCTTAAGCTCAGGCTTTATGAAACAGCAATTAATTTAGCCCGGACACTGCAGTTAATTTTCTCAAATGGAAATACCACATAAAGGATAGGGTGAGCATATTAGAAATTCTGAATGGAAGTCTCTTACTAAAAGGTGGGATATTTGGACTGCTAGTAGTGGAGAGGCTCATAGTGTGTGCGCTACTGAGTACATCTGGTGTATAAAACACGTAATACACATTAAAACTTCTGTAGGTGTCTGAATTGCCAACTATGTGTCATCGGCGCTTCTCAGTGTGACCAGGATTCTGTAAGTGCTAGTAGTTTTTCTTGAACACAGTGAAAAAGTTTAATGAAGTTGGAAAATCTCATCTTGATTTTTTTTGTTTTGTTTTCTTCAGAAACATTTTGGCTTCTGTTAAGATCTGAAAAACTTAAGCCATAGATCATGCATACCTGCTCAGGCTTTTCTTGGGAGAGATTTACAAAAATACAATAAAAATAAGCGTCTGTTCAGCATGTAAATCAGTAAATCTGTCTAAATTCCTTTGCTTGAGGCTATTTTGAACAGACCTAGATACTTCAAATGAAGAAATCTGAATGACACTTGACATTCTGAGTTTTACCCTTGGCCCTTTCTTCTGCATCTCCACCTTGGGTTTACACTGGCTTCATCTCTGACCGTTTGCTCATTTATTCCATTTCTGTTACTTCCTAATTTCATCTTCTGGCTGTTGCAAATCTAAGGCTTGAAAAAAACATTGTAGTGTTTGATATTTTCTTACCTGGCAACATCTTTTTCAGTTTATAAGATCCAGATACTGCAAAGGATTTTGGTTCTCTTGCCCTATGCTCTAGCCAGCAATTTGAATAGTTATTTGAATTGAACTGTTCTAAGAAGCACAGCAGGATAAAGGTTTGTGTAAAAGCATGTGCCTGCCAACCCCTCATCTAGCCTGGGGTTTTGAATACCTTCAGACCTCAGGTCACTTGGCGTCTCGGTTTGTGGTTTGGGTCGTTACAAGACAAACTCCGTCTTGCAAAATGTGTTTCCACAATGCTGCAATGTTAAATCTGCGTGCCAGGTCTAAGCCTCTCATCAATTCATTGGACTTTGACCCACTTAACATACGTGGTCCTACCTGATGCTCCTTTCCTTTTGCTCTGCATGTTTAATTTCAGCTACCTGAATGTGCCTGCCATGCAGGATGCAGCGCAGTTCCTGCTGGGAACCCACGACTTCAGCACCTTTCGCTCGCTGAACTCTGAAACACGTTTTCAATCTCCAGTCAGAACCATCCTCCAGGCAGACATCCGACCCTCTTCTGGTTTCCTGTCCCACCACTATGAACACAGGTGAGAGCCCAGATACTCAGCTGAGGAGCTGCTCTGATCAGCTGGTGCTTGCTTTGAAAAGCTGCTTTCCAGCCCTGCTCTGAGAACTGACCCTCCTGTTTGCTGTCCGTTGCCTTCGCAGCCCTGGGATGGTGTGTCAGCAGGGTTCTGCCTAGTGACAGCTTGGAAAGGACATTTCTTTCCCTCTCCTCCCGGGTGTCCTCAGGGAGAAAGATGGGTAGGAATGAGGGCAGGGAAACTGGTCCAGTTGTTTGTACATTAAAAGGCAGGATGTTATAAACTGGTGTATGGAATCTGGCACAGGGCAATTGCTGTGAGGTGCTTCCAGCATTTACAGTCATTTTGGTTGCTAAAGACCAGCTCTGCGGGGATGGGATTTCCCCCCCCCCCCCCCCCCCCCTCTTCCGCGCAGCAATTACTGGCTTCTTCCAAAGTCATCAGGACGGGTCCCCCCCCCCCCCCCTCCCGCCTTGCTGCTGCTGTCCTAGCTTTGCCTAAAGGCTGCAAATAGAAGGAAAAAACCCCACCCAACACCTAGGTCACTGCTGTAGCTATGCAGATCCGCTCTGTTCACACCAGTAACGCCTACTGTCTTCCCAGGGGATGCTGATGAAGGAAAGCCCAATATTCCTCAGTCATTACATAAACAAAAGATTGTTGAATATCAGGTTCTTTCAGGACCAGGTCTTGCAAGTATTGAAATTAAGTGGCTGGATATATTCTCTCTCTAGCAGAAACTGAAGTTTTTTTCCCAGAAAGATCATGGGTATTTATCATCTGAACATGGCTTTTCTTTTCATGCTGGCTTCTTTCAAAAATACTTGGCCGCTGTGTTTCAGCTTGAAAGCAAACCTTGCTGTTGTCTGTCTCCAAACCACATTTTCCTGCTTTCTGATTAGGAGAAAACCTTTCTCTTTGTAGTTTTCCCCAACGACCCTCCATTAGATTTGAATGCCTACTGAGCTGTCTGTAACAATAAGTGCCATGCCTCAAGCTTTGGTGGAGCCTCACTGCAGTTTGCAAACACCCCACTGTTTCTTTCCCCATGTCCTTGAACGGTGTATTTTGTATTTTGCCAGCAGTAGAGTAAGATAAAAACTGAAAGGGAGCTGCAAAACCAGAGAGAGATCTGTATGCTCTGAGTAACCCTGGTCTTTCAGTTCCTCCCAGTTCCTCTCATCTTCTCTGATTCCCGCTTTTCCTGCTCAGCGTTGATGCCTGTCGACACACAGCCACGTTATGAAGAGCCACCCAGTTGGATATGGCACTTCCACTGCTACTCTTCTCTGTATAAGCACAAGGACATGGGCAGTTAGTGCCAGATGTAAACGCTTACTTCTTGCAGCTAAGAAAGACCATCCCCATGGGAAAAGGAAGGCTGGAGAGGAAAATGGGTGCTATCATGTGACTGCATTCCTG